AGCGTATAGAAATTGACTTGCCCGAAGATGAAACTACCAAATTCCGTCAATCTAGGGAGGCCCATTGGATTGAGACATTGAATACAGCAAGACCTATAGGACTAAATATTCATCATAATGTAGGCATAGCACCCTTTGTTGTCCCATTTAATACAACCAGCATCGAGCAAGCAAGATAGTTCATGCCCACTATAAGAGCCTTCAAGAGAAATTCCCCCATGTCTATAAGCAGAAAATGATAGTTGCATATTCAAAAAATAAGAACTTAAATGATAATATTGTTCATAGTAAACTAAAAACAATCAGTACATAACAGATACTATACTTCTCGCCCATCGGGCGAGTTATTTTTTCTAATTTCAGATCAGAATAAGAACAGAAGAAAACCCAATATCAAGACCCTTAATCCTAATTTCTAAATAAAGTGTCTGCTCCACCCTAGGCCTGTACATTTGGGAGAATCAAACCCTCCCTTCCCCGAAATCTAATCATTTCAACCTCGACGACCATTCAATAGACGATCTCGCCCTAATCCCAATTAAGCGTATAGAAATTGACTTGCCCGAAGATGAAACTACCAAATTCCGTCAATCTAGGGAAGCCCATTGGATTGAGACATTGAATACAGCAAGACCTATAGGACTAAATATTCATCATAATGTAGGCATAGCACTCTTTGTTGTCCCGTTTAATACAACCAGCAAGCAAGATAGTTCATGCCCACTATAAGAGCCTTCAAGAGAAATTCCCCCATGTCTATAAGCAGAAAATGATAGTTGCATATTCAAAAAATAAGAACTTAAATGATAATATTGTTCATAGTAAACTAAAAACAATCAGTACATAACAGATACTATACTTCTCGCCCATCGGGCGAGTTATTTTTTCTAATTTCAGATCAGAATAAGAACAGAAGAAAACCCAATATCAAGACCCTTAATCCTAATTTCTAAATAAAGTGTCTGCTTCACCCTAGGCCTGTACATTTGGGAGAATCAAACCCTCCCTTCCCCGAAATCTAGTGTATGTCCACGCTGTAGTCCAATATTTTCTAAAGTGCAATATATACAACAGTTATTATAAATAATGGTTCAAGCTAACCTTAATTTGTGAACCAACTTCATTTCGTTTTATGATAATGTAGTTATAACAGGTTTCTTGTAATTTTTCTTGTCATGCGGAGCGCGATTTAATGCTTTTATAATGTCGTTCGCTCCATCAAAAATGTCCACTTTTACCCTCGTTTTGCCATCCGATTTAGCATACACTGCACCATTGAAGTACCATGCCCCTTCAACCAGTTCCATCTTTTTCAGTCTATTTATTAAATGTGCGTTTAAGATTGTTAAGTCATCAAATACCTTGATATTATTTTTGAAGAATTCTGCACGATTTATCATGCTATTGCGTTTAATTTTCTAGTTTCTGAATTTCACTATTACAGGCTGGGGCTTGTCTTTATATTTTGATGGAATTCTATGGGCTGCAGTGATATCGTATTGATAGAGTTGAGTTCCTGTTGTATCTTCGATTAAACGTGTTACTTTATCTAGCACTTTTTCGTTTTGTGTTTCCGGAATGTTAAGAATTTTTATATTATTTTTGCGGCTATATTGTTCATTATTGTTGGCCATTTTTATACCAGTATTTTGTCCTTCATAGTTGTCAATTCACCCTTAAGTTTACTAATCTGTTCATAATTTGTATTTGTACGCTCTCTCACCTCATTCGTTTTATCAACTATATCCTTTAAGTCAGATTGAAAAGCATCCTTCACTTGTTTATATATCACACCTATCATATCCCCCATCATTTCTTTCATGTCGTCCTTTGTCATCATTGAATCCATTTTTTGTTTCAAACTGTCAACCACTTCAGAAAATTCAGTTATGTCAATAAGGGGACCCCCTTCTGATTGTGTAGAATTTTCTTTCAATCTTTTTCTTTCACCTCCTGCTTCACTAGCCATGTTTTTGAATTGTCTACCTGACCTATTTTATAAGACAGTAAGTATGTGGCAGGTTGGTTATAAACATAGATTGACCAGCTAATCACTTCAAGCACAAGTGTATAATTGTAACAACTGTTCTACTCTACATTCGTTATGGTCTATTGAACCTTCTAAATCAGTGATAGTTATGTGGTATCGATTTGAAATCCAATTTCACTTGTTTTGCTAGGACGAATTCGCAATTTTCTTCGCATAATCTGATTGTTTGTTGTCTGCTCTACCTCTCTGCATAATTTGGTTAGAAACTATCAATTAATAACTGTACAAACTTGATCAATTGCAGAGTGACTTTTAGGCTGTAACTAACCATCCACCATTTCCACTTGTGTGAATTTTTTAAACAGTTTTGATTTAAGCGTTCTGTTAAATCTTTCTATTACTATAGCCTTTCCCTCGTTATGAGTACAGTAAATTTCAAACCCAAGTGATTTTACGTTTCTGTTTTAAAACTCAGTCCCTGCATCAACCCATTATTTCTTTGGTTCAGACACAACCGATGTTGTCAATAAAATAAAAAATCTTCGAGTTCCCTCTAATGCTATTTTAATTTACATCGACGTTTCTTCTATGTATACCAATATCGATAACACTTCTGGTTTAACGGCAGTTCGTAAAGCTTTTAATAGAAACCCAGATCCAAACAGACCCGACGATGCAATTCTACAGCTTTTAGAGATTTGTCTTAGTCGAAACGATTTCACATTTAATGGTAAAACATATTTACAAACTTCAGGGACAGTAATGGGCAAACGATTCGCCCCTTCGTACGCAAACCTTTTCATGGCAGAGTGGGAACGTGAGGTGTTGCCCCTCTGTCCATTTGACCCACTTTTTTTACGGACGCTTTTTGGATAACATTTTAATGGTTTGGGCTTATTCTATCGAACAGTTTTGGGAATTCTTTGAAATAAAAAATTCCATCTTAGCACAGATAGCAGCTAAAACAGACTTCATGCCGAAGTACCTCCAGGTTTAAGAAGTGCTCCATGTTTGTCCAGTAGATGCAAAACATGTCCCTTTTACATCAGAAACTCATTATTGTGTAAGCAACTCTACGAATTAAAGGTACCCGACCCAGGAACATCTAACATGTGAACATTCGAATGTAATATATTTAATTTCATGCAAGAAATGTCCCAAACAATATGTAGGAGAGACTAAGAATAATTTATGAACACGTTTTAATGCTCAGAGGTCGGACATCAAATTAAAGAAAGACAAGCCTGTTTCTAATCATTTCAACTTCGACGACCATTCAATAGACATCCTAATCCCAATTGAGCGTATAGAAATTGACTTGCCCGAAAATGAAACTACCAAATTCCGTCAATCTAGGGAAGTCCATTGGATTGAGACATTGAGTACAGCAAGACCTATAGGACTAAATATTCATCATAATATAAGCATAACACCCTTTGTTGTCCCGTTCAATACAACCAGCAATCGAGCAAGCAAGATAGTTCATGCCCACTTTAAGAGCCTTCAAGAGAAATTCCCCCATGTCTATAAACAGAAAATGATAGTTGCATAATATATTCAAAAGAACTGAAGTGATAATATTGTTCATAGTAAACTAAAAACAATCAGTACATAACAGATACTATACTTCTCGCCCACCGGGCGAGTCATTTTCTCTAATTTCAGATCAGAATAAGAACAGAAGAAAACTCAATATAAAAAAACTGCAGGTGAAAGAGTTATGACAGATATATGTTAATTTTATTTCTTTAAAAATGGGCGATTGGAATAATATTATAAAAAGAAACAGACAATATATCAAAGCTAAGAATAAAATAAAGACTTAAGTTGGATTAACGGAAAATCTACAAACTCTATTTCAACCAATATTAAAATTTTAAGAGGATATTAAAAAGAAATTAGACACGCCTCGTATAGAGCCTCATATAGATCACCCCAAACCGATTGAATATGGTGGTTTTTAGGACATTAGATGATATAAAACGTTATTTTCCAAATCCAAACCCAGATTTACCAAAGAGCATTACACCAATTGTTGATAATGAAGGGTTATTGTTTAATGGATTTAGAATACGATTTAATAAAATTCACCACAATTCAAAATCGATACAAAAAACTTTATATTTACATTAACAGAAGGATTAATAGATTTAATGAATGGTGGGGATGTTGATATTGCCGATTATAAGAATTAAGTAGAATACTCAAAATTTCTACATATGATAAGAAAGACGGGACCCGAAACAAGAAGATTAAAAGAAGTTGATCTATATATAAGAGTTATTGACCAAGATGATCAATATGACGAAGCAGATGATTATAATGAAGACCATTCAATCACAGAAGAAATAGACTAACGGGATGATATGGTGGCATCTGGACAAGGTATATCGTTTTGATCCGATAACAACGAGGAATTACTTAATAGATTACAAATAATATTAGTAGCCAAGAAAGAAGGTCATCGATCAATGAGACAATATAATGAAGTAAATTGTATATTAAAAAGACTCCTAGAGAAAAAAATCATCACAAAAGAAGATTATAAAAATGTCATTGAAAATAGTCATTGAAAAATGCCAAATAAAGAACAGTTATTCGTTATAACCTCAAATAAATCAGACATTAAATTGTCTGAGAATGATATTGAATTAATATTCACTGTAATTTAATAAACGGTCGATTTTTCAATAAACACAAACGTCAGATTATTTACAGTATTCCAACATTCACTGTACCGATTGGATATAGAATTATGGAGAAACCATTTCAAACATATTTACCACTTAATTCGTTCATGATTAAAGATATAAATCTGGAAATCAAAGATGGTAAAAATAGGTTTATTGATTTTGGTAACGAGGAAATTGTAATTCAACTTCATTTAAAACAAAAGAACTAAACTTATTGAGTAATTAATCACTCTTCATTCTCTTCTTGAATAGTTAGGTAATCATCAAATTCATAGTTTTCATCAAAAGTATACTCATTTTTATCACTATAAGGATACATAATTCCTTCACTGTTTGGTGGTTTTCTCTTTACAAGATTCAAATAACTTCTAAAAACTTTCATTTGTTTATCATCATCCATTGGAATAACTACTCCATTTGTGAAACTTTTTCCCATGTTTTATTAAATTCATTCGACACATCATGTCCGCTTGCTAACTGAATATAATCTTCTACACTTGTCTTATCATTAGAATAACCCTTTAAAACCTCTTTTCTTTTAAAACACCATCAGAAGTTAGAATGATATTGTATCTAAATATAAACCAAATATGATTCCACCATCACCGTAAGTATTCTTGCATTTACAATATTCATTTTCAGATACCAACCCAGCTTGATTTAAGTTGTCCCAATTACTAGATGAAATGTATAAACTATCGGTATGGTATATTTCAGGTTTATAAAATCCATTTATTACATGAATGAAATTATTCATTATTTTTTTTTACTGTGAGATAAAACGAATGATCCCAAATGACTAGGTGTTAGTCGTGTAATCAGCAGTAATCTCTTTTTCTTCAATTTCTATTTCAACGAAATATTGAGCATCATTTATTTTCTCATAGTTTTTAATATGTGAGTCGAAGTTAGCCTGTAAAGTTACTTCATTCCATAAATGATTACTCGTGGTTCTATCCTTCTGAATAGATTTACCAAACAGGGAAGTACCTAATAATGTCATGCAATTACTACCCACAATATTACCTCCTCGTTTATATTTATTTCTAAGATCTCTTAAAATTAAAATATAATCTCTATATGGGTTTTAAAATTTTCTTTGTATACTATACCATCTAATATTCTAATTATTCGTCCACCGGCTTTAACTATTTCTTGAATATCAACCGCTGTTAAAACTTCTGTAACAGAAACCATTTCTAAACCTGATTTAAGTGTCAGTTTCGTGTTTACCTTCTTTATTCGTGAAAGTGATTTTATCTTTTGCTGGTATCAATTGGAAGAACATGTTTTTGGGATAGTCAAACCACACTGTTAAAATAGCTGTTCTAGGTCTAAATCTTTGTTTATTGAAGGGTTTTACAAATTCTTTTTCTTCTTCTGGTAGAAACGGTCTAGCACTTTCTGCTTTTGGATATTCACTGTCTAAATCTGATATTGCTGAAGCGTACAAACCGTTAGCATCAAATGCCATTAGTTTATTGCAGTTTTTTTTTTAAGTTTTGAATTAACTTCTGTTTTGTCTTTTGTGCTTGCGCTGTATTCTTTCAATAAACCAATTATGTTATCACTTCGTGTTTCACTTTGTGAAATATCACTTCGTGTATCATTTCGTGTATCACTTTGTGATATATCACTTCGTGTATCACTTTGTGATATATCACTTCGTGTATCACTTCTTGTTTCACTTTGTGAAATATCACTTCGTATAAATTCCTTTAATACATTACAAATTTCATCCATTTTGGTCGTTTCAAATGATTTTCTATTTGCTGAAACTCTTCCTCCTTATATAGCAGGAGCCCAGAGGGGTCAGCCTAGCTGAAAAACTAACCAATTCTTATATGTATCACTATTCTCCATGGACATTCCCTTTAAAGGAAATGGACGTCTGCCGGGCATGCATTGGTGGGTGTGGCCAGGAGAGGTCAAAGAAGAGTACCATTAAGATAGGCTAGTTCAGCTTGTCAAATAACTAATAGAAACTAGTACCAAAGTGGTCAGCATATAGCCATATACTATAAATGACTTTTGCCAGACATTTCCAGTGGTGGACTGTGTCCGCCAGACAATGATATCCGATACAAGAAAATTGAGCTAGATCAGCTTATGAGCTAACTGCATGAAACCTTTTGTAAAATCTTCGTCTTTAACATGTGTATCAAGAATGACCACTGCCAGACATTTTCTGTGGTGGAAAACCCCTGCCAGACGCCCCCAAATGACCCCACCCCCTAAAATAACCTAGGTTAGCCCATGAGCTAACCGCATGAAACCTTTTGTAAAATATTCGTCTTTAACATGTGTATCAAGAATGACCACTGCCAGACATTTTCTGTGGTGGAAAACCCCTGCCAGACGCCCCCAAATGACCCCACCCCCTAAAATAATATTAAATCGTCTGATATAATGTCTTATAAAATGTTTCGGAACCATTCTAGTAGTTTCATACCATTCTTCTTCAACCATTTCTTTATCGTTATGATACAAATAATACCAACCCTTACAAGATAAAGCTTGAGCCGTTAGATTATTGGACATATTTTGGTTTACAACTTCTTCCGTGACTTGGTTATATTTTATCAAACAAGCTCCAAGACATAGGGTATCCCTTTTTGCATATGGTTCCCATTTATGTCTTAAAGATTCCCAGTTATCTTTGGTGTATTTAGCAATGTCAACATCCATGGTCTTTCTCAAATTCATTGGTAGATTAGATAAATTACCCCAGGCCGCTAAACTAGATGTTTCATGTTGATAGGAACATGTGAAATTAATATGTTGTAAATAATTATTATTACCTGTTATTTCTTTCTGTCTTTTCCATTTGTAAATCTTCAACTGTGTATGGATTAGATAAAGGTAAAGATAGAATTGCTCTGTGTGCTTTAACTGGGCATTGCGTTAGTTTTTTTTATATTTTTAAGCACGATCCAGTTATCAAAACCGCTACCGTTATGAGAAATTAATATTAATCTCTTTCTATCATATTGACCTAAATATTTCAACATTTGATCTATACAATCTGTACCTACAAATATTTCTACTATATTCATTAGTTTATCATAAAATTCTTCTGGAACATTATCAGTGGGATTCAGATTTGGAAAGATATTTTTTATTCTGTCTAACATTTTTCTTAGTTTTTCTAAATTAATTAATGTACACGCATAAGGAATTGCTTTACGCGTTTCACTTTCTGAATATGTTTCACAATCCCAAGCAAATAACCCACCATCACTTATACTTGAAAACACGTTAAGTTTCAGTGGTGAAACCTGTGTTACTGCGTTATCGTCTCTACACGTTTTCCACACTTGTTCATAATTATCTTCTATTTCATTAATACCCACACTTTTTTTTGTTTCTTCTTATAAGACAGAAATGTGAGTTGTGTAAATATAAAACCCCATCTAATTCCTCTTTTACAATTGTGAGGCGCAAATTTCTACTATTATGAGTATAAATTTGAAATGAAGTATCACTTTCTTATTGAATTCATTAATTCTAGCAGATGTCATCACTCCTTTTCTATTTGCTTTTGAGAAACCATTGATTAAAATTTGAAATTCATTTGTTAAATCTTTGTTTAAAACATAATTTACACATTTGATAAAACAGTTACCGTCTGTTGCTATGTAACAATTTTTACCTATATATTCATTTATCTTTTTAAGTAGTTCAGTTCCTCTTCCAACTTTTGATCTTTTAATTTCTTTAAAATTGTCTTTACGTAAAAGGAGTCTTCCTGTAAAATACCAATCAGAAGCATCAGATTCTAAATCCATTTTAGAAAAGATTGAGTGAAAAGATTTAGCATTGAAACCAATAAGATGCATATTTTGTTTGAGTTTCCATCTTGATTATCTCTGCATCTATTTCAATTTTTCTTTAAATATTTAAAATTTTAAAATAATCTTGATAATATTTGAAAATTAATGTTTCATCATCATTAAGTTCAATTGACATATATGTTTTTAAATTATCTATTATCAAAATTATCAAACTGTATATGTAGTCCACAGGGTGAAATAGTTTAAAGTTGATTCATCCAAAAACTCTCCCTGTATAGTCTTGAACTTTTAGGGTTGGTGTCTTCTTCTGCGATGACCTTTTCAACGGGCACCACCTTCATATCTGCGAGGGAATGGTGAGAGAGTTGAAATGGTTCCCATTAGGTTTATCCAGATGATGGGAGATGTCGAAATGATGGCCGTTAATTCTTTCTCTCAAAGAGTTTTTAGTTTCGCCTATGTATTGTAAATGACATTTGTGGCATGAAATTGGGTAAATGATATTTGTGCTGGTACAAGAAAGCTCACGGTTAATAGGGAATTGTTTACCGTTATGCTTATTAGAGAAAGAATTGGTTGTTAAAATATGCTCGCAGGTTCTACATCTTGTAGATCTGCACGGCCGTGATCCGCAAGATTGATCAGAGTTTACCGGAATGAGGATTGTGTTCCGATTCTCAATTTCTGAAAGAGTTTTGCTTTTAATGCTGCGGAGATATCGTTTTGAATATCCCCGCTCTCGCAATTAACTATAATACATCTACAAGTATATATACCACCAACTTCTTTATTGATAACGTTCAATTATTGATGAAAATATTATAAATTCTTTACCTCGTTGACATTTGTGAATATCAATTTAATATCAATAAATCAGGATAGTATCTTTGTGGGAATGAAAAACTAGTATTAACAAAATATAGTTTTACATATTCAAAGTCTGATGTTCTTAAAACGTATAACTCTTTATTGTGTGTGCTTTTTGTGGAGTTGGATTTCTTATGATGTTCATCGATGGTGAGTTTTCCGTCTCTAATATCATATCAAAATCACGTATTGAAATAATATCGTTGTCATTGTCTGGTATTATTGACATTCTAAAGGTGTCTATATATTTTCAATTTGTTTTAATTTCATACATATGATTAGGCTTGTTGTTTTCATCGTTAACTTCCAAATCTTTATTTACCATCTTTGATGAATTCGAAATATCTTACGAGCGTTAAAATAGTGAGATGGATGAGAGAAGAAGATTGAATCGACTTTTACAGGAAAAAGAATTTCAATTAGAGCCTTACCTCGGAAAATAAAGTTTCCTGAATCATCAAATATGTTTTTAACGTTTTCACTTATATATGAAAATACTTTTATTTTTAATATAAATCCATATCCTTCCAATTGATATGTTGTTTCACGTGTAGGAATACGCTCAGTATTTATCACACTCAAAACTGGAAGATTGAAATAATATGATTTCTTATTTTCCATGAGTTTGTTTTCTAATGCGGCTATATTTTTTTCCTGTTTTTAAACTTCATTATTAATATTATTTTATTATATTAATATTAATCTCTGTTGTTGATTGCGCTATAACCAATATTTTGTATCTGTTGTTTAATATTTGTTAGTTCTTTTTGTAATTCAGTTGCCTGTTGCCATTTATCTTCACTTATACCTGGATTAATATTATCTATTAATTGTTTAAGATCTATTATTTGTTTTGTTATCTTATCATCTAATTTAGATATTAATGAAGTTCAAGTTTGTAAAGTTTTATCTGCTACATTTAGAAGTTGTTGTTTAATAGCATCTATTTCACTGTTATCATTGAGTTTGGTTTCTACTTTAATTTATCTTCACTTGCACCTGGATTAATATTACCTATTAATTGTTTAAGATCTATTTTTTGTTTTATAACCTTATCATCTAAATTAGATATTAATGATTTTAAATTTTGTAATTGACTTTTTGAATAGCGACTATTTCACTATTATCATTAAGTTTAGTTTCTAATGCGGCTAATTCATCTTCATTCATACCTGGAATAATATTATCTATTATTTGTTTATTAAGTTAATTGAGTTTTATCTACTACATTAAGTAATTGTTTATTAATAGCAACTATTTCCTATTGTATTTCACTATTATCAATAAGTTTAGTTTCTAATGTGGTTAATTTATCTTCACTTATACCTGGATTAATATTCGTTATTAGTTGTTTAAGATCTATTTTTTGTTTTGTAATCTTATCATCTAAATTATATATTAATGAACTTAAAGTCTGTAATTGAGTTTTATCTACTACATTTAGAAGTTGTTCTTCAATAAAATTTGTTGTTGTTACTTCTTGTTGTAATTTAGTATCATCAATAAAATCTTTATTATTTATTTGTCGTTTGAAGTATCTTTTCACATCGCCTATTCTTTCTTTTAAATGTTCTTTATCTACTTCAATTAAATTTAATTGATCCATTAAATATTTCTTGTGAATAGCATCATTATCATTTTCAGGAGACTTTAAATTAGTTATGGTAAAATTATTCATGTCTAAATCACCTTGAAGTGTGTGTCTCCAATTTGTTCTACAAAATAAGGTTTTGCTTTATTATTTAGGTAAAGAACCTAATCCAAATTTATTCGCCATTTTTATTAAGTTAAATTTATTATAATTTCTTCAAACTGTTTTTCTAAATTTAATTGATCCATTAAATATTTCTTGTGAATAGCATCATTATCATTTTCAGGAGACTTTAAATTAGTTATGATAAAATTATTCATATCTAAATCACCTTGAAGTGTGTCTCCAATTTGTTCTACAAAATAAGGTTTTGCTTTATTATTTAGGTAAAGAACCTAATCCAAATTTATTCGCCATTTTTATTAAGTTAAATTTATTACTATTTCTTCAAACTGTTTTCTTAAACTTAATTGATATAAAACCCAAAGTGAAAGTTGACCACAAAACTTTTGTTCAGGTAATTGAATTTGAAATGTTGAACATTTGATTGGTTGATTAGTCAGTTTCACTGATTGAATTATCTCTTCAGATGGTTCTAATCCAAAAGTATCGAAGAAATAAAAGTTATTTAAAGAGTTTTTGTATAAAGCAGAGTGATGAACTCCATTTTGGTCTGAAGTATGTATATTTGTTATCGCATAAAATTAACCTTTCTTATCCTTAAAATTATTTATTTCATCTCTCATACAATAACTACAGCCTTACCCTCGTTATGCGTGCTGTAAATTTCGAACCACAGAGATTTCATATTCTTGTTATAAAATAAACTTCCTTTATCTACCCATAACTTTTGAGGTCCTCTGTCAGATTGATTCATTATTGTTTCAAATGCGTGTTTGACTGATAAACCGTTTTGTTTTTGAGAGGAATAACCCAAGTATATCTTGCGTACAAATCTATAACGGTTAAACAATATTTATATCCTCTTTCAACTGGCATATGAATTAAATCAGCTGACCATATTTCATCTAGATCAAAAGTTTTTAGTTTTTCTAAATTCTTTGTGTATTTCATCTTCTATTCCCATACCCATTTTCATCTTTGCTTTTACCAGTTTTATAATCAATGCTCTTTGCATTCTCTCTTTGAAAGTTGGATTTAGAATATTTTCATGTTCGATTATCATTTGTCTGTCTGCTTCGTGTCTGGATGTTATGTCTTTATTTCTGTATAAACTACCATGTTTAAGTGCAGCAGCGTCAACTCTATTGACGGGTTCTTCACCTGGGTTTCGTTTATCGTTTTGATCTAATCGTAGATCTAACCTTGGACCACTGTAATTATGACCGGGCAGATGTTTTCTCCGGGGTATTTTGCCTATGGAAATCCAGGAAGAGAACCTAATGATTTTTGAATGTCAGAACCGAAATAAGTTTTAGGAGTTTGAGCAATTATCATAGACATTTTTATCCAATTATTTTAAAACCATCGCCTTTTTTATTTTCTAGTCTTTTATGTCGCATTTCTCTTATATGTTGTAATTCTTTCAACTCGTTAGATCTTTTCACTGCTTCGCTTATATTTACTCCTGCTTTTGCAACAGATCCTAGAGCTTGGACAGCTGAGGAAATAAGGGTTTATTGTTTGAGACAAAGTTGGCTACTTTTGGGATGAGAGATGATAGAGCTGAGAAGAAACCATCTCCTTCGAATTTGTGTTGTTCGTGTTTTAAAATTAAACTCATTCTGTTTTTAAATGAATTTATTTAATGAAGAAATGTACTTCTAGTTTTTATATTTAATAAATATTCAACTATTGAGCAAAGAAACGATTGGGGCCAACATAGAAGTATATGTAATTGGGGCACAAAAACGAAGTTTTTGTGTATTATTTGAAGGTGATGATGAAATGTAGAGTAGATGTTTTATATTATGGGTGTGAGAGCTTTCAGATTATAAGCATTCATATGTATGGAAATGGAATGAATTGGAATTAAATACATGAGTGCTTACAATCTAAAAGTTCTATTACTACTTTTGTTCAAAAAATGGACTATGCAAACAATTACCTCATCCATTTGGTCAGTTTCTGTTAAAAGCTCAGTTGTTTCAGCTTAACAGTTCAAAAAATGGAACGGGTTTTAGAATTTTTCAATTTTTGTCATTGACCTTGGTTCTATATTTATATCATATTTGATGCCCAACGTAAGCTTCCGCTTTTGTAGCCGTTATATCTCGTGACCTTTTGTTGACCTAACCATTTACATTGTCAAAGGTCATTGACTTTCGCTATTCGCTGATACCTTCATTTCTGATGTCTGACAACTACTTCCTTCATGTTTCACAATCTTCCAAACATGGAAAATGTCGTTAATTTAGACTGTTCTGGTACGTGACCTAGTTAACCCAGAAGGTTGATTTTGTCAGAGTCTCTTTCAATTTACCACAGGAGCAAAGTCTCACTCTGTGCCAAGTGTGGCTCTAGTTCATTTCATTTTCATTGTTAAAAATGTATTAAATTATTTTGCTTTTCATTTCAGGGAAGGGGAATTATGAAAACATATTGGTTACGATGGAAAGGACAATCAATAGATTTATCAACAAGCTATGAAACAGATGGGTGTAACATGTTACCAAGTCATAAGACGCCGCCCTTATCCTACGAAAATGTAAGGAGATCCACCGTAACGTTCACGCCGGAAATGGACATACGTTCCGCAAGAAGTTATAAGTCGTTTGTCGATAGTGCTGTTCATACTGATCGAGAGCTAAATCAGAAGTATGAAATACCTACCAAAATCAGATTTGGAAATTCAAAAGAAAAACATTTTATGAAACCAACAAAAACAGCCGATGTTCGACCCAAAAGTTCGCAAATACATGTCACGATTCCGAGTACAGCAAATAGTCGAACTTGTTGCATTCTATAAGCTATAAACTATTCAGTTTCTTTTAAGAAGTCAGACTAAAAAGCAGGTTCATTTCCATACATTATACAGTTGTGTGATATTTACATCATTTAAATCCCTGTATTAAAACGGCAACCAAGTAGCCGAATAGATGAGCTGAGTTTATTTGAAAGTACAAAGAATCCCGCTGTGGGACATTTTTTTTATGGCGAATTGAAATCCACGAATTCACTCATTTTAACTGGAAAATCAGAATCGTCACATTAATTTTTGACCTGAAAAAATAAATTCGCAAAGAAATGATTTTTATACGTCAACATTATAATGTGGCCGTATATTGTCGTCTTCCCTGTCCGTCCGTAATAGGCTTGTGATCACGATAGAGACTACAGATCTTATCATTTATAATTATGAGAATTTGGTCAAATTCGAATTTGACAATTTCTCGATAAACGTTTTTTGAGTATTGCCCTTTGCGTATTAAAATCACGTCAACATTTGTTTATGAACATAATCGACACTAAAGTTTTCATCTGATTGTAATGAAATTTGGTATGGTCATCTATAACAATCAGATCTTGGTCAAATTCGAATTTGATGACAAGTTAGATTTTTGGTATGATTTGATACAGATTGGTGGCCGCCCTTGACACACTGAAAATTTTTCAGGGAAGTGTGCGTATCCTGCTTGGCAATCACTTGCTGTTTGCATGCCTAGTAGACCTCCCAGAAAATGTCCTAAACCCTCAAGAATAACAAACATGATGCTCCATTGATTCGATTCAACGCACTCGACCATCATGTAATTGGTAACTAGTGCATGTCAGGTTATATTTATGCAGAACTCTTAAACAGACTTGAAGTACCTCCAGGTTTAAGAAGTGCTCCATGTTTGTCCAGTAGATGCAAAACATGTCTCTTTAAATCAGAAACTCATTATTTTGTAAGAAACTCTACGAATAAAAGGTACCCGATCCAGGAACATCTAACACGTGAACATTCGAATGTAATATATTTAACTAAGAATAATTTACGAACTCGTTTTAATGCTCATAAGTCGGACATCAAATTAAAGAAAGACAATCTAATTTCATTTCCACCTCGACGACCATTCAATAGACGATCTCACCCTAATCCCAATTGAACGCATAGAAATTGACTTGCCCGAAGATGAAACTACCAAATTCCGTCAATCTAGGGAAGCATTGAATTGAGACATTGAATACAGCAAGACCTATAGGACTAAATATTCACCATAATGTAGGCATAGCACCCTTTGTTGTCCCATTCAATACAACCAGCAATCGAGCAAGCACGATAGTTCATGCCCACTATAAGAGCCTTCAAGAGAAATTTCCCTATAAACAGAAAATGATAGTTGTCCACACACCTGTCTTGTTAAATCTCTACCATAATCTATTTTCTCCCCTTCACTGATCAATGATCAAATATAAAATTTGGTTACATCTAAAAAGAACAAGAAGGAATATAGGAGTTTAATATACCATCTAGTTCAAATTGTAAGAAATCTAAAATAAATCTGACTGAAATGTTCAAGAAAAAGTAAATAGATTAGTAATTTTTTAAGATTTATCTTTATCAATGTTATATGTTGGAAATCGAAGAAAAAGATCCTAGTGTATCACAAATTCATCTATGTAAATATATACTCCTCTTCCTAATTCATCTCAAACGTCTTCTTTCAATTCATTAGGATCGTAGATTGTGGATGAATAAGATTAGAATCACACTATAACTACACAGAAACACAATTTGACATCGTGAACTATCAAAATAACTTAATCAGAATCCAATAATCCCTTCATTAGATGGAAGACATGGTGCGTGATGCCAACGAAGGAACAATTAAAACTGCAATTAGAAATTTAATCAATGTCTCAAAATTTGAAAATATTAAATGCTAGAACAGACAAGTTATGGAACTTTTTGGTTTACTCGGACCTAAATTGTTTTACATTGGTCTTCCTTTCAAATTCCATCTTCAAAGAACAATAAATAATGATAGAATATTTTTTGGAAATAACAAATATTCAATTATATGTTCCAGTTATAACCCCAACAATTGAAGTAGAAATAAGACTACTTAATAGTTTGACAAAAGATATTGATATAACATTTTTAAGAAGAAACACATTGGGTCGATAATAATCACAGGTGAGAATTACACATGGCAAACAAACACTACAAAACCAGCAACATATTTATTACTTGGTTTCAAAACTCTTTCGGATTTGCAAGAAAACAATAATAACCTTTTTAGAATAACCGGTTACAACTTTCGAGATCCTAAAATAAAAAGAGTTCAAGTAAGAATGAATAACGAAATTTTTCCAAGATAACCTTTAACAATTGATCCTGGTACTAAAGATTTTAACGAATTATATACAATTTATAAAATTATGAGCGAGTTGTTTGGAAATCTAGTTCAGTGGATTTTGTTTTAAATTATCAAATATTTTCCTTTGATCTCTTTGCCCACAAAGAAGATATGTTCAAAACGGGTGTTTAGCTGTCCATATATATTGAAAAGACAGCAGGAGAAATGGTTGGGTATTGTTTGTTACTAGCAGAGTCTCGTCATATCATAAATATATGGATAGAAAAATGGTAAACCTAAAACAATTACTTATAACGGCAAAAGATACATATATGAAAATCAAGAAGGAAAGGACATTCGCAGTGGTGATGGTTTATTTCTTTCAAAATATCGACAAGGAGACGGTGTTCTACTAAACCCCCACTAAAACTTAATTATTATAAAATGACTTCAAAATTCAAACATTCAGACAGATTTCCACAATTTGTTTCAATCCTGACGACCATGGTTATGTGTTTATTAATACAAGAAAACCAGCAGGACAAAACGTTATGACAAATATTTGTGAGATGTGAAACGTAGAAAACTGATTGGAATAAAATATTTAAAAGAAATAAATAATATATGAAAACTAAAAATCAAATGAAATCTAAAATTGAAGATGAAAGATTATCACAGATGGGATTGGATGAAAATTTATCAACTTTATTTAGTCCTAAATTAAAACAACAAGAGATACAACATACATTAGTAGTCCCGCCTGATGGTGTTTCACATCCCTTACTAGAAATAGAAGATCATCCTGCAAATCAATTTATCACGAGAACATTTAACGTCATTTTTCAGATTTACCAAAGAGTATGATGAGGGCCTAATGTGTACTCGCTTTAGAATAATATTTGGTAAAAAAAACCTTCATATTTAGAGTCGATACAAAACCCTCTATATACACATAAACAGAAGGATTAAAAGATTTAATGAATGATGGGGATGTTTCAATGCCAATTCTACTTATAACTTAAACGTCAGGCACTGAGAAAATAGATTGAAAGAAGTTGACCGACATATAAAAGTTATGAATGAAAATGGTGATCGAATCACACAAGAAGAAATACACGAAACGGAAGATTATGGTCAAGATAGTTCGATCATAAGAGAAATAGACGACTTCGATGATTTTGTAGGAGAAAGTACCACTGGAAAAGGTATAATGTTTTTGTCCGATCATCCTGAACAATTACCTAACCGACTTAATATAATTGTTTAAGCAATAAAACATGGACATCAATCTTATTTTAATGAAATCCACGCCATTTTAAAAAAGATTATTATAAAAATTGTTTTTGACTTGTCGAATTAAATAATGATTATTAAAATGAACGAAAAATTTTTTTTAATAACATCTTAATCCTCGAAAATAAGAGTAACCTTAAGTTGTGAACTTGTTTCTAATAAAAAAAAAATTGGGACTAAAATATTTTTCACTTTATAATTCAATAAGAAATGTCAATAAAAACAACAACCAATTGGAAATTTCAAAACACAATGGAAGAACATTTAAATTATCAACAATAGCACCAGGAAGTTATGAGTATGTTTCCATCAACGATTTTACATCTGAATACGTTGGAAGCCACAAAGGAAAACCCAATATTGAATTCGAAGGTAATTTAAATCTGAACAAAATAAAACTAGTTTTAAGAGACAAACATAAAGTAGGTTTCAATGTGGAAAACTCAATAATATGAATTATTTGGTTCTGATAAGAAATTGTAAAGCAAATCTACACTAAAGTAAATATTGAGAACGACATCGATATCATCAACATTCATTGTAATTTGGTTGATGGAGGTTTTTTCAATAAAGATCCTCTTCACATGTATACCCATTTCAATTAAAATCTCGAAGAAAGCACAACAGAACCTCAGCAACCCTCAACAACATGATGATGGAGTCTAGTATCAACAGCGCAACAATCTTACCACCCTACGAAGAAGAATTCGGACCAGTTGATAATCTTCATTGGTCTCCAGAAACAGCAATTATTTGTTTTGGATACACCAGCTTCAAGCATCGAGTAAGTCTTTGAACTAATAACTGGGGATAAAAATACTGAGAGGCCGCCGCTAGGCCAAACTGTAGTTAACTTGAGACGCAAAATTCTCACACCCCTTCAGCATTCAATCTTGGACCGTGGACTAATGTTTATTCCCACACCAAAGATAGCTAACTTAAATTATCTCCGACCAACCATTGAACGATTTCAACAAAATCTTAGCTGCACATACTGTTTTCGACCCCGCCCCCCCCCCCACGTGGTGCTAGAACAATGTTTATTGTTGCCCCTCTGTCCATTTGACCCACTTTTTTACGGACGCTTTTTGGATGACATTTTTATGGTTTGGCCTTATTCTATCGAACAGTTTTGGGAATTCTCTGAAATTCTCAACAACCACTATTCTATCAAACAAACCGCAAACGTGAGTGACAAAAGCATAGATTTTCTCGATACCGCTGTCTTTAAGGGAGATTCCATAGCAGAAACAAATAAACTGGATATTAAAGTGTATTTCAAAGAAACTGATACTCATCAACTCTTGCACAAGAGCTCCTGTCACCCAAAACATACCTTTACTGGTATAATTAAGTCACAGGTTTTACGATTTCATCGAATTTGTACAAG